TGCATCGCACTCATCGCAAGTTTATTGTTAAATTGTTAAATGCCCTTACATATCTCTGTCACCATTATAAGTGTTTGATCAACACATTTGAGTGATCATTGCAAAAAATGTGTTTATGTATATATATTCTGTTTATGTATATACTGTATTCTATATATAGTACCAGTCAAATGTTTGGACACATGAATGGGAAAGTGTCCAAACTTTTGACTGGTATTGTACTATAATATACACAAAGAATATCGGCCGATATATCGATATATTTTTACTCCCTAATATTGGTATCGGTATCGGGCCCAAAAAACCCATATCGGTCGGGCTCTACTTTTCACACCAAAAGTGAAATTAATAAGCCTGGCTGAAGGAAATGTAAATTCACGTCTGTAAAGTAAGAGGGTGCAGCTCAAACAAACCTTTCAGCTGTGCTGCCATTCTGGATTGCATGAAGAAAAAGACGCAGGAAAAGAAAGTTCAACACACTTAAGCAATTAAAAAAAAAAAGAAACACAAATATTGTTTATCTAAAGTCAATATGCTTATCAGTATGGTTGAATTGGATCATCGAAGGTCAGCAGCAAAGACACCGGTTAATAAAATGGGATTAAATACATAAAGGATTTGTGTTAACATTTAAAATTATATATATATATATATATATATATATATATATATATTATTAAATATTTATAATGAAGAAAAATTCTCAATAAAAGGATGAAGAAAATTTAATTGTGTAGCTTTCATTATTATTTCTCAGAAAACTGTTTTGTTGAATGCAATAATAAAAAATAAATAAAATAAATATTAAAAATAAAGTTAGTTCACTAAGTCATGTGGTGCGACCAACATGTAGGAAAATAAAATATAATACAGAAAATTATATCATGAAGATAAATTATATCATAATATAGTAAATTATATCGAAAAGACAAGTTATATTATAGTAAATTGTATCATAAAGATAAATTATATCTTAATATAGGTAATTATAAATTGATAATCAATGTTTTAAAAAAATAAAATAAAAACTTTTACTTGAAAAATAGATTTAAAAAAATTATTTATTTTTTAATTATGATTAAGATACGTACACTGAAGGTGTTTTACTTGGTTCTTACACTACATGAGATTTCTCTGTATAACCATGTATGTGACAAATAAAAAATCTTGAATCTTGAATCTTGATTTTGAAAGTTTATAATTTTAACTTTTGTGAGATTGTATAATAGTTTTCTTTTATAACACGTTTCCTGTTCTTTATCTTGGATGTTCTTATTTGTCATTGACTCACCTAAGAAGAGCTGCTAAAGTCATGGCTGGCGAGGTATTAAAAGGACAGTTTAGGTGTCAAAAGATTTGCTAATGACTGGTAGTTCATTGATACGCTGTAATAAGTAATGTATTCACCCTCGGTCCGATTGCGTTCCGGGGAGGGGGGGGGTCCCCCTCGTTCCCCTCGGGGCCCGGTGCGACCGCACCAGTTGCAGCCCCCTAAGGATGGCCCTGAATGTATTACTTTACTAATTACTTGAAGAAAGTAATCTGATTACGTAACTCACGTTCCTTGTAATGCGTTACTCCCAACACTGCAGTTTACACATTTTACGCTATTTAAATCAAACACACAGAATTCCAATGATCCAGAGCAAAAAAAAAAAAAAAATGCCATAGCGTCTATCTTGGCCTGCTTTTTACATTCTCATAGATTTATTTTAAGAATGCAGGGGTGGAAAGAGGGACGTACAGTCAGAATCACGCACCCAGGCACCCTATAGATCATCAGTAGTTGAATAGAATGAGCTGCCCTTGAGACTGAAGCACAATTGGCGCCTGATATATTCCACAGAATCGCACTCTGATCCCCATGGCGACAGTAGTAGAGGGCTCAGCATGGGCCCACGTAAGAAAACGATGGCAAACTACGTCCCATCAGCATCAGAAGAGCGGCCCGATTACACTCCATGTGCGTGAAGCTGAATGGCTGGCATACCATTCCATTGTCAGTCTGTCATCTATGGCATTTAGCAGCATCATGGCACTGAGGAAGTGATTCCAGCACTCATGGTGAGCTGTAATGGAGAGAGAGATTTGTCATTGAAATGTAATCACCTCTTGTTAAATGGACACTTGAAATAGTTCAGAGTTTTGTTATGGTATTGAAACATTTTTACCCTTTATTCCCCTCAACATAATTTGTCACACTGTTAGTGTTACCACACATTATTGCATAGGGGCAAATGGGGCAACTATATTTCACCATTACCAATTTATTTTAAAACTGACCTGGGTCAGTTATTATAGTAATATATTTAATAAAAAAAATAAAAAAAAGGTTAAAATATCAAGGTTACACAACTATCTATCTATCTATCTATCTATATATATATATATTATAATATTATATATTTATAATGAAGAAAAAATCTCAATAAAAGGTTGAAGAAAATGTAACTGTGTAGCTTTCATTATTATTTCTCAGAAAACAGTTTTGTTGAATGCAATAATAAAAAATAAATAAAATAAATATTAAAAATAAAGTTAGTTCACTAAATCATGTGGTGCGACCAACATGTAGGAAAATAAAATATAATAAAGAAAATTATATCATGAAGATAAATTATTTCATAATATAGTCAATTATATCGAAAAGACAAGTTATATTATAGTAAATTTTATCATAAAGATAAATTATATCATAATAAAAGTAATTATAAATTGATAATTAATATTTAAAAAAATAAAAATAAAAACTTTTACTTGAAAAATAGATTTTTTAAAATTATTTAAAAAAAAATTATGATTAAGATACGTACACTGAAGGTGTTTTACTTGGTGCTTACACTACATGAGATTTTGAAAGTTTATCATTTTAACTTTTGTTAGATTGTATAATAGTTTTCTTTTATAACACGTTTCCTGTTCTTTATCTTTGATGTTCTTATTTGTCATTGACTCACCTAAGAAGAGCTGCTAAAGTCATGGCTGGCGAGGTATTAAAAGGACAGTTTAGGTGTCAAAAGATTTGCTAATGACTGGTAGTTCATTGATACGTTGACCTCGGTGCCATGTGTCTGGGTTAGCCACAGACTTGCGTGCACAACACAGAGAGTATAGTTTACATCTTACCCTGTGGCCAGTGACGGCTCCATGGCGACGAAGGAGCAGGTGACACTTTAGGGGTCAGTTTTAGGCTCTTAAGCTTCCCTCCTAGAGTTTAGACTAAACCTTTACAACTTTGAATGCCCTCTCCCAGGGCATAAGACACCGAATCCTCACTGAGATTCCCTCAAAGCCTCTTTGGGAACCACAGAGTTGGTTATCACTGGCACACCATACATTGGTGACATAATGTGAGCGGGTCTTTATGCTTCTGAGTCCTGGAGGCACCCCCTGATTTGAATTTCTCTCCTTTGCTTTGCGTTCAGGTATATGAGGAGCCAGTGACAGTGATGAACTCCGAGCAGGAAAGGCCGTTCGTGTGCAGCGCCCCGGGCTGCTCTCAGGTGAGTCTGATAAGACAATAGCAAAGACGAACGGTCCTGTAACTCGAGAAAGCTCTTTATTAATGTGAAACTGCGCAACAGACAACAACAGTGAAATGGTATCTTGTTGAGGCAAATGTCATCAACTGGATGTCTTGATATAAGATATAAGATTCTTGGCTTGCTATTTGTTTGGATGAGGTGAAATCCTCATAGGTATGGTAAATAATCTCTCTCTTAATGCATATATTCTTCTAGCTCAAGTTGAACCATTACAGTGGTTCTCAACAGAGTTATTATATTTAAATAAAAGAAAAACTAAAACCATAAAAAAGCCTTTCTCACTTGAAATAAAATTAACTTGAACTTAATAAAATATATATATATATATAATGTTTTTATTTTATTTCAGTTAGAGGGCAAGGCAACATCTAATTTGACTTTATGTATTAAAATAACTAAAACTAAAACCATAAAAAAACCCTCGTTACTTGAAATAAAACAAACTTTAGCGGAGGCAACATTTTTCATTTTCACTTAGTTTAACTTCGTAAAATAACTAAAAATTAAAAGTGAAATAAAAAAATAATAAAAGCTATACAGACATATTTAATAAAAATGTCAAAACACAGCAAAATGACAAAAAAATTGCTCAAATTAGAGTGAAAACAGAAAATATAAAAATAAAACACATTCAAAATATTAAGGAAACTTATAATAGTATCTCAATGATACTAAAACAACTGGTTTTGCTTGAGGATCCAGATTTTATAATGGTTACCCAATATAATAACAACATTGCTTATCATACAAAAAAAAAAAAAAAAGAAATCAAAATCATACTTTGAAATTTATTAATATTACCATGGACTGCAAAGGTCCATCGATATGTGCAAATACTGATATGACAAATACACAAAATGACCAAAAAAAAAAAATTGTTATCACCAACCAAAGATATAGTTATTGCTTTCCTGCCTTTTTAAAAGTATATTTATTTTTCTCTCCTCTGTTCTATAAATTATCTTTATTCTTTAAATTTGCATATAGCATATATATTTTTTTCCTTCTTTCCGTAATCAGAACACACCTGTGGCCCATTTTCAGATTACAATCCACCTGTTTTGGTAATCAAAATCATACTTTGAAATTTATTAATATTACCATGGACTGCAAAGGTCCATCGATATGTGCAAATACTGATATGACAAATACACAAAATGACCAAAAAAAAAAAATTGTTATCACCAACCAAAGATATAGTTATTGCTTTCCTGCCTTTTTAAAAGTATATTTATTTTTCTCTCCTCTGTTCTATAAATTATCTTTATTCTTTAAATTTGCATATAGCATATATATTTTTTTCCTTCTTTCCGTAATCAGAACACACCTGTGGCCCATTTTCGAATCACAATCCACCTGTTTTGAACCGCTGCACAATTAGACTAGGCCTGTCACAATCTGTTTGAGCAGGCTGGTTCATGTGGACCATTTACAGATACAACATTCCTCTCAGGTGCTCTTAAACATCAATTAAGATAATGTAATTACCATAATGAGAAGGTATTTTCAATCAGAAAGGTGTTCTTGTAATCTATTCAGACAGACAGTTTATGCCTAAGGCTCAGTCCTGTTGTATTCAGTGGTAAGTATAAGATTGCTTGATAGAGTCACTAATTGTAAGACTCTGTTTTTCAAGAACACAAAATGGAAAGAAAACAAACCTCTGCTTTTTTTGTGAGCTTAGTGTTATTAAATCGCAACCAGTTGTTTCCATGTTCTCTAGAGATTCCCTACGGAGGATCATCTAATGATTCATCGGCACAAGCATGAGATGACCCTTAAATTCCCCTCCATCAAAAATGACAACATGCTGTCAGGTGAGACAGACCACGCACACACACACACACCGGTCTTTGATTAGGTGTATTAACCAGGTGTAGTTTTAAATACAGAGCCATGTGGCTAAAATAATATTTGTGCTGTGCTCTGCCTCACTCCCCTAATCCCAGTCATCAACCCGTACCATGAGTTCCATATCAATTAGACCCATTTCAATTATGAGACTACAGTGTTTCCCATACATTGAGTGCGAGTGTTTTTATATCACTGAATTTCTGAAGAAAACCGACTCTCTTCAGAAAATTGGATGTCATTTTCATTTAATCTTGCATGTAATGTCTGATAAAGCAGTGTTTTTTTGAGCGGAGCGCTGCTTTGTGTAGAGCCGTTACCGGGGAAACCTTGATCTCTACCACTCCATACCAAATGTGTTGTGATTGGTTAGCTGGGCCAGTGTGTGTTGTGATTGGCAGCACTCGGCGCCTGGTCGGGAAATGTCATGCCTCTTACCATAGATGCCTGTGTGCTTCAGTGTAAATATTGCGTCAAAATCTACACGTTGTAGTCCAAACGAGTCGTTCGTTGTAGTTTTTGAAAATTGATTTCCGTTAAATAAAATATCTCCTTTTGAAGTGGACTTTGAGCTTTGTAACTTTGCAGATCTTTTTTATGCTCAAACAGGAACATTACAGACTAACTAAAGTTGAAAAAGTGAAAAAGCATAATAGGACCCCTTTAAAAGTTAACACAGTACCTGGAGACCTGGCAAAAGTGGCAACATCCACTCAAACCAATTATTATAAATTATCTAGTTTGTGATAAACTAATATGATTTCCACATGTAACATTTCATTATTATTTATCTCTATTTATTTTATCCTATATTTTGATCAGTTATTTTGGGCTATTTTGTAATATGAATTAGGGCTGGGTTTTGACACAAATTTCACGATTTGATTCAATTCTCATTCACAAGCTTGCGATTCAATTCTATTACCGATTCAATTACCGATTCGATTCGATTCAATATCGATTATTTTGGATATATATCAGGTACAGTACATGCCAAATTTTCTCAAGGAAAAAAAATCCCTTAACTAATGCTGTAAAATATAAATAAGAGTCAGTTGGTACTACATTACTATAATATTGAAGGTTAAAATTAATTAAGTTTTTACAATAATAAAGTTACAGTTACATAATAATATTTCTACTT